GACTTTAAAGCTTGATCCGCCCCTGGACTGGTGGACATTTTTGATACAAAACCAATATATTCCGTTGTTAATGAAGGCTAAAAATAAATTTTACAATTTTCAAAAAATCGCCAATTTTTCACACAAAAACAAACGAAAAAATACTGCAGGGTTTTGCAAAAATATTCATTTAAGCGTTTGTTTCTTCGGCCTACTTCCGATGCTCGCATAGGGCTTAAATTAAATGCACAAGAAGACAAACATTGTTTCGACGATTTAATAAAATAAATGCCCTTTCTTTAATTTTACGTTTTTTGTCGATGGTTCTTTTGCGAAATTTGTCTAAACATCCCATTGCTCCGTACAAGTACAGAAATCAAGATGAACAAGAAGAAACTTTCCAAAGGTTTGAAAAGTTTCAAGGTGTAATTTACGGAAAAATTCACATTTCTACATCAATTAATGGTTAATCAGACAGTTTTTTTAATTTTAAGATTTATTTATTCACTTTCTCGTTCAGAATTTTTCAAATGTATTGTTTTGTACATTACTTACTTATAATACTTATAATACAAATAACTTCACTAAAACTACTGCTGATTTTCCTTTCATTAATGGATGGTGCAGTTAATTTGCCTGAAAAATCCGGTGTGTTCTGTCGTGATATTCAATGGATTTTTTTTGAATTGTTCAAGCTCGGTTTATTGAGTTTCAGACTCAGTTCTGCTGATTATACCGGTTTGACTGTGTATGCAAAGCACCAGAAAAAAACTGCATGAACCAGAAACGACTTTTAATTCCGCCCCAGCCCTGCGGGTTTAGGTTCATTTAGAAAAATTATCCTGAGCGAAGCCAGTACCGTATATTAAACCAGATTAGACTCTGGATTTTCCAGGTTTAATTATATAATTCCACCGTTATGAGAATAATAAATAACCATCATTTAATTATTGTGTTTTTCGTTGTTGAATTCGAGCAGATGTCGGCTTAATGCATAACCGGAAATTCGCAAATATATATACATATACAAATTTAGTAATTTGAGAAAATGTTTGCTAATATTATTGCAATGTGCAGCGTTGTCCAATACGTACAATGTAAACGCACATTTAATTATTGCGGGTTTATCTGAAACAATAGGCGACATCAGCGATTTATGACGTTTCGTAAACACGAATGGCATGCATCTTCAGGGCGCGACTCTTCTGCGCCGAGCAAACAAGCCTTTGAACTAATCCGCACTAGACGAGCAGTTTTTCCAACGAAGCTGTTGAACTTATTGAATTCCCACGCAAAATCGATGTTTTATTCAATCCACCGTTATGGTTTTCGGCACACAAAAGCAGATGAAATTTGAGGAACAGTTAAGCCCATTCAGGTCACCCCCCAAACTTTTCCCGTGTTGTGTGATACACGAGGGTGCACTCTCTATTTCTCTATTGCAATCCCTTCGATTTCCAGCCAGACGAAACGGTGCAAATTGAAAAAAAAGGAATTTGCCCCAAATCCCCAAAAATATTCAGCTTAAGGGATCGGAACTGACAACGGGGTTTCATGGGAACATACCCTGCATAAGGAATGGCTATTTGAAGAATCCGGTCGAAAAAGGTACTTTTTTCCCACCTCATCTGCTCGACTGTTTCACGCTTTTCAGCATCCTGAACATTTGTATGTGAGACAGTGAATTTTTAATTCGAAAACGACGTTAAAGAAGTGCGAGTGAGAGGGAGTGGTTGCTATTAAGAGACAGAGCTGATATGGGCTAACACAATCTACTACTACCAACCATTTTTGGTTTTTTTTGTTTTTAGCTGCATAAATTTATTGCTGTTGTTTTAGGACAACTGGCGTTTTTGCAATTTTAAACACCTTGAAATGCGATTTCCAGGCCAAATTGCCAAACACATCAATATAGTTTTTCCAGCGTCTGTTCAGCCGTCAATCTTGCCATAAAACCTGAGTGCTCACCCGTAGTGGAAATCCGTGCAACAAATACATATTTTACATATAAATGTAATAAGTGCATTGTAAAGCTATTAGGAAACGTTGATTGACGCTTTCAAAGCGCTTTTATTGTTGTTTCGTGCTGCAAATTGCCAGCAATCGGACAAAACACATTGAATAATGAAGGAGCGTACATTTTTCGCCTATCAATTTGTAAAATATTCAATCTGGTGCCAATCGACGATCTTAACCATCAAAAGAGGATTTTTGCTTTTATGTACACAACTTTTATTATTAAATATAGAAAAACCGTGATTGAAAGTTTGCGTTATTTCTCAGGAGAGATTGTTTAGAAGTATGTAGGAAACCCGGAAAATTTTTAAATATCGAAAAAAACGCAGGGGAGGCGAGGATATTTGCAAAAAACTAAGCCTGCAATCTGGCAACATTGGATTTTATTTAATCTGCAAATAACCGCATTCTAGTGTTAGTCAAGAACCTCAAACAAATGGACACGAAGAAAAGAGACCATTTTAATGATAACATTTAACAATCGACACTCCACTCAGTAGAGACAAGTTCAATGGTGCACACACCCAGATAGCACAAAATATTACATACATATTTAGGAAATATTTATATATTTGCTAAATATTTCAGATCAAAAGCAAGTATTTCTTAAATATTATTTATAAAATATTTGTTTCTAATATTTAATTAGCATGAAATAAATAAAATAATAATAGGTTTTCTTAGTACGTAATACTTACTTTAGTAAACAAACTTTAGAACATATTATCTCAATTTTTATTGGTCCATTAACGGTAAATATTTCAAAATAAAAATAAATATTTCTTAAATAT